TACTATAGTCTTTCATTAAGCTAAAACAGGTGATTCCGCCCCGGGCGTTTATGTTCGCGTTAGTGTTTTCTTTGTGTTTAGGTGGGTTTGCGTTAGTGGTTGCGTTTTGATTTGGTTCGTTTTTGTTCTTTCTTTTTTCGTTTTTGCTTGTGTTTTTTTGTTTGGGTTTGTATTTGTGTTTTTGATTGGATTTGCGTTTGGATTTGGTTTGTTTTTCATTGCTTTTTTTGTTGGTATTGGTGTTTGTGGTTGGGTTTGTTGTTAGGTTTTTGTTTTCGTTTGCTTTTTTGTTTGTTTTTTCTTTGTGTTTGCATTGGTGTTTGTGGTTGTGGTTGGGTTTGTTGTTAGGTTTTTGTTTTCGTTTGTATTTGTAATTGTGTTAGCGTTATGTTTGCGTTTTGTTGTTTTGGTTGGTTGTGGTTTGGGTGGGCAATGCCGGGTTTATGATGATTACTAAACACACAGGTGATGGTCTTTAACAGAAAGGTTTTTCACAGAAGCCAGAGCAGGGCCTGGCCGGGACGGCTAGTATATATATATATATATATATATATATATATATATATATATATATATATATATATATATATATATATATATATATATATATATATATATATATATATATATACTAAGGAAAGAAGTGTGCTCACGCCAAACGTTTATATAAAGCACGTGCTTTCCCTCCCCCACAGCTCTGATAGCCGTGCTGTCGATGTTCATGTATGGCATGACATTCTTCCCTGTGTTCGCTTCACTGGCGCTGGGCACGGCGTTCTCCTACGGCCTGGGTTCCCTGTACGTCTGGATGTTTCTGGCACTGGAGATCTACAAGGTTGCAGAGTGCCAGATGGATGGTGTAAGAACCGTTAGGGGTTTTATGGTTGTATAGAGATACAGTTAGGGTTAGCTGTAGAGTTAGGATTGGGCTAGAGTTATGGTGAGGTGCAGAGAGTGCACGATCTAGAAGTAGCTATTCAGCCCTAAATATGTAACGTATCATATGTCCGGTTTATTTGTTGTGATGTCTAGCTTGTGTGTTGTCATGCCCAACTTTTAGGTAGCTATTCCCCCGATGTCTGTATTGTGATGCCCACCCGTGTCGTGCAATACCCAGCTCCTGTCTTGTAATACCCACCTGTCTTGTAATGCCCACCTGTCTTGTAATGCCCACCTATCCTGTAATGCCCACCTGTCCTGTAATGCCGACTTCCTTACTTGTAATGCCCACCTCGTGTTATGTAATGCCCACCTATCTTGTAATGCCCACCTCTCTTGTAATGCCCACCTGTATTGTAATGCCCACCACCTGTATTGCAGCTGTCTAGAACGCAAGCGCTAATCCGCGCCTTGCCGAGTCTGCTCTGCCTATCCTACCTCAGCATCTCCTTGCCGTTGCGGTTCGGCATCGCCTGCTACAGAGGCCAGTATGTACTTCCGGCTGTTGACCTACCCCCAACGACGGAGACCCTGGAGGACATCAAGGAATCCTACCAGGGCGCCCATGTCAGGGCGCTGCTGAAAAAACCCGAACAGAACAAGTGAGTGATGCTGTTTACCAGTTACCTTCTATAACTATTTGTATCGCTTAACATGTTGGGATTCAAGTGAACGCATGGTATAGAGGTAGAACGTGCTCTTGTTAACCCCTAAATCACAAAGTCAGTACCCTTACGATTGACCGTCTCTAGATCGATCTGCCCAGCTCACCCCCCCCCCCACCTCACCAACTCCAATTTTAAAGCCTGGTGAAAACCCAACAACAGACTACGCAATATTTTCCTCTCGCTTGAACATTAACTTTACTTCTAGCTATCTAACCAGAATCCCCCCTGCCCATAACTTAGCCCTTACTTATTTCTAACTTAGCTCTAACTTATTTCTAGCTTAGCCCTAACTTAGCCCTAATTTAGCCCTAACACCAACAGATCTAGCGACTGGTCACGTAAGTATAAGATATATTTGATTCATCATCTTGGTGGAGCAGTAGAAAAGATGAAAACTACTTTGGAATCGTTCCAGAAATAAGACAGTTTTGCTGTCAATTCAGTATTTGATTATCATTATTTGCTTATTGCTTTCTCATATACAGAATTTAGAGAAAGTATTGTAATCGTGCACAAAAATCACATGAAATTTTGACAGTTTCCACCGTTTTACTTCTCAATATTTCATTATAAACAGAGTATAAGGGACTTACTTTAATCGGGCAAAAATTATAAATCCAGATTTATTAAAACTTCGGCATTTTACGCGTAATCGAGTCGGAAAAACTGGACTTTGCAATTCTGTCTTTGTGTATGTGTGGATGTGTGTCTGCAAACACAATAACTTGAGTACCGTTGTAGCTAGGTTGATGAAATTTCATATATACGTATTATATCAAATTTGTAGATCTGTATCAACATTTCAGCGATTTCCGGGAAAGGGGAAGTGGAACTTTTTCTCCTTTAATTTTTTTTTTAAAAGCCTATAACTTTAGTATTTCAGATAGATACATGAAGTTTCACATATAAGTAAAAAATCTAATTCTCTACCTTCTTTCAAATTTTCAGAAATTTCCGTTGACCGGAAGTACTAATTTACGCTATTTCCGATTTCTCAAAAAACGCATGTGAATTTATAAAGTACTAATAATATTCCGCACTATTATACACATCTTTATTCGACGTTCGCTTGGTGCGCAATTCTTTTTTTTTAATGAGATTCTATTCTATTTTAAAAAGTTTAAGTATTTAAAATGGATTAAAAATCATAACTATATCTCGAGTTCCCATCCCCTATTGTTTTATATAAGAATATTCCAGAAAGTTTAGGGGAGATCACTCCCGTTTTATTTAAAAGTTTAAGTAATTAAAAATGGATTAAAAATTATGTCTATTTCCCGAGTTGCCGTCACCTGTTGTTTTATATAATAAGAATATTCGAGAAAGTTTAGGGGAGATCACTCCCGGTTTATTTATGAAATAGTAAAGCGGCAGATGAAGTAAATTGCATCTATTCATGTGGCCGCGAATGGATAGTGTGGTCAGAACTGAGCATAGCCGGCTTTATTTTCACAACAGACTCGAAAAGTGGATCCGACGCTAGTATATAAGTATCGCCTTTCAGTCATTTTGTATTGTTTCAGTTTTTATATTTATTTACATGATAATAGTCTTTTCATATATATATATATATATATATATATATATATATATATATATATATATATATATATATATATATATATATATATATATATATATATATATATATATATATATATATATATATATATATATATATATTAGAGCAGTGTTTGGTTTAAAAAACAAGATAAAAGGAATGCTTGTCGACAAGTTCAATGAGCTTATATATCACAGGCAGACGGGTAGGTGGAGTAGTTTATATCAAGTATCTATCTGATTGTATTTTGTAACGTAAGGTTTGATAACAAATGTAAAGAAATCGTGTACATCACCAACTTTGCACCCATCGTGTATACATCTATATAAGAACTCTATTTATTTAAATTTTGTCTCTTTCGGGCCTGGCGACCGACGGGACAGGTGAAGTAGAGTTCACCTGTTTCTATTACCTTGGTATAAGAACGGGTAGTGTGGTCAGCATTATACCGAGCCGCCTCTACTTAAACTAATGTTAGTCTGATACCCATCAGAGCTAGGTAGACTCAGGGACGTGCCACGACTCAAACCAGACACTTGAACTCGAGACTTTCTGGTTAGCAGTCGAATGCTCTACCGTTCCACCTCCTCGTCCAATCACAACTATATGCTCTTCCACATATTTTGAATAATTTCAAATTAATACAAAATTAAAATTCTAATTAACTCGGATTTGGAGAATCATCACTTTAAATACCACAACTTAACCCCCCCCCCTCTTTACAATTATTCTTGTGTTGTGTATATCACCAATCCCGAATAAAAATAACAGAATAATAAAACATGTTAAATCTATTGTTTCCTTTTTTTCTTACTAATTGATTTGTTAGATGTTATAATTTTATTTCTGAGATTGATTACAATTTTAAAAATTATTTATTTTTATTTTCATATAATTTTACATAATTAAAAAAGTTTTAAATCTTTTTTTTCAGGCTTTAGATATTCATCACGTTTGATGTCAGTGATGTTCGTGTCGACCTGTGTCATTTATGTGGTATGCTAATTGTTGTTTTGACCCGATCGTCATACGTTACCACAAAAAAAAGCAACAACACCCCTTGGTTGTAAAAACATTAATTTCTTTCTAACATAATTCCTGTGCTCAGTTTCTATTACAAGTAACAAAAAAGTCTTATAAATAACACAAAATTACGGCTAAACCATGACGTGTTAAAATGCACAAATGTATCGTCACATTATCTACCTGACCCACCCACCACCACCATCATCCCCTTTTTTTCCTTTTTTACATCTTCAAAACGTTCTGTACACCTCTGCCAGTGTGACGTTTTATATAATCGACCCTTCAACCGATTAAGATTGGAAGCATGTTTAGGGCTGTTAGATTTTTGTAGATAATTTTTTTCTTTAAACAATAGTCTGCCCAAGAAACATGTGAAAAGCCCCTTTTTCCATTCTCTGACATCTAACCCACGTTTCATTTTTCTCGGTATCCTAAAATTAACTTGTGTTTATACGAAGTTTTTGTATATTATTTACATAGCTCTACATTTAATAGAGGTAAAGCGTTAGACTGCTTACTCGAAAGTCTCGAGTTCGAATCCGGGTTTAAATCAGTCAACGTCATTGATTCCACCCAGCTCTGATGGGTACCTAACTCATTTTAGGAAAAGTAAGGCGGCTGAGCATAGTGCTGACCATATTATCCCTTCATATGCCGATGTTACAGAAACAGGTGAACTCTACTTCACTTTTCCCACGGACTGTCAGGTTTGAAAATGGAACTTTACTTTTTCAATTAAAATTATTTTATTTTTCCTGCAGATCACAGTTGAGATCCTTACGATTATTATAATCCTGTTCTCACATATGACTGACCTTATCAAACCATTGTTGGAATTTTTTGACGACGACGGCAGCCATGCGGAAGTAATTCTTGAGCTGGCAAAAACTCTGTCTGACATCTTAATGTGTATGATATTTACTCGGTTATCGTTCTTGCTTTGTGGTTGTAATTTATTATCAGTTTTATTTATTTGTTATTTATCCATTTTTATATACAACCTACATTCTAAGAATAGGCTTGAAAAATCTATGTAATCATACTGATCTCTTTTTTAAATCTTAAAAAAATGTGTCAAGCAATAAAATTATAGTTACATTTGTAAAAATTAAAGCTCTTTGGGAAATATCGATTACACTTATTTTCATTTTTTTGTATTGAATATAAGACATTGAAAAGCCATTTTGAATTATTTTATCAATTCAAATATTTATAAAAAAACGCACTCAACCCTTCCTTAAGGTCAATCGTAGTGGTCAGGGAAAGTCAAACAATGAAAGCCACAACAATTGTTTTCCCTGATAAAATACAAAATAGTTGACAATGGGGTATAGTCTAGTAGTTTATTTATATTAAGTATTATAATATATCTTATCACCACAACACACTGACTATACTAATCAAAATTAAAAATAGAAGCGTTTGCTAAATTGCTATTATATTACTAGTAATTGTTCGTTTGAAAATTTCTAACGTTACTAAAACCAAAAGTCATTTTGTACTTATTTCACAAATGTTTTAAAATATTCAACTTTGGTTGAAAATATGCTTTCTGGCAACAACAATTTGGAACCATTTGGAACCAACTTTTCATGATAATTACATTGGTTCAACATTTTTAAACAAAATTATTTTCATTAAAAAAAATGATTTTTGCAATAATACATTTGGCTAGTCAATTTTAGCCTTATCCGCAACACTAGAAGAAAATTGTTTAATACTATAAACAATGTAATATTTCAGCAATACTATCAGACACTTATTTAGCACTGTAATCAATGTAATATTTCAGCGAAGCTAGAAGACAATTATATACTGTAAACATTGTAATATTTACGCAATGCTAGAATTGCAATTTCCAGCAACACCAACATAATATCATTATCATTCAGTACTGTAAACAATGTAATATTTCAACAAATCTAGCAGAAATATATTTAGTACTGTAAACAATGTAATATTTCAACAGCACTAGCAGAAAATTATTTAGTACTGTAAACAATGTAATATTTCAACAGCACTAGCAGAAAATTATTTAGTACTGTAAACAATGTTATATTTCAACAACACTAGCATGAACTAATTTTCTTCTGTAAACAACGTAATAATCATCATTCAGTACTGTAAACAGTTCAATCTCTTATACCACTAACAGAAAACTGTTTAGTACTGTAAGCAATGTAATATTTCAACAACACTAGCATACATTTATTTACTACTGTAAACATTGTAATCCTTCACCTCAGGGTCTCTTGTAGTGGCCATCAGCCTGGCATGTATCACCAGTATTATAAATATCTTACACATGATGTCATGTTTCAGGTGAGTTAAGCTTTCAAAGGTGACAAGGATTTTTTTTTAAATTAGCATCTTATATATATATATATATATATATATATATATATATATATATATATATATATATATACGCATATAACATATTTATAGATATATATACATAAATTGTATATATATATATTTATTTATATGTATATATATATATATATATATATATATATATATATATATATATATATATATATATATATATAACCAGTTCCATACTTAGAGATTTATACGCAATTTTAAACTAAATCTAATAAATCTATAAGTAAGAAAAGTAAGTGGTGATATCTCTTACCATACAATAACTATACAGAAATCTACGTTCACTTTAGTGCTTTTTATACAAATGTTATGCAAAAAATTAATTATAAAGCCTAGGTTTGAACATTTTTAAAATTTGCATTTATATCAGTCTTAATATTGTGTAGCCAAATGTATATATGTATGTATTTATGTATGTATGTGTGTATTGAAATTATTTTATTTTACAGAACAAATTTGTATGCCCTATACAGGGGAGATAATAGTCACATCCCTCCAGCCTCTTCTAAAAGTGCAACCTCTTTGTGTGTAAGTGATGGTGTCGAGTCCTTATTACGATTGTCCCATTATTGTCTATGTTGTACTAGTAACTTTTTTCATATATAATTTGTTTGGATAACACCATCCTTCATGTGTACCTGTCTATCTACAGCTAGGTAGCATCAAATATGGAGGGTTTCAGGTAGCCTACATTGTGTGGGGTGAGTAGTCTACATTTATATACATTATTGCCAGATACCCATTAGACTCTGAACATGCTCGGTAGTAAATTTCAATTCATTTTAACAAAGACAAGCCTATTAGATTTTAGTACTTGGTATAGTGATCTTATTTTCGCCATCTTATGTTTTGATAATTGAATGTTGAAAAGATCAATGAATTCATATCAATTCTTCCAAAAGCTTACCTGATCAGCAGCGTCATCCTGTTCATAATCTGTCTGATTGTTGCCGTTTTTATATTGCTACTTATGGAAGGCTACACTGATTGGCTAGTTAACAAGGTGCTACAAGTATGGTAAGTTTTAATCTCACATGCTTGTTCATAAAGCCTGATTGTTGCTACATTTGTTTGTGTGATTATAAAAGATTACACCGATTGGCTAGTCAACAAGGTGCTACAAGTATAGTGAGTAAAAGTTTTTACTCATGTCAATATGCCTATAGATAAGTGGAATTGTTGTCGAAACACGTTGCTTAATTTTAACCATTTTTAAATAAGAGTATGGTTAGCATATCGCTTGACCTACTTTTTTTTTACCGTCGTCATGGTAATGATGGTTGCCGAAAACGACGATATCGTGATTCCGTTTTTTATAAAATGTTTCATGGTCATTTCAGAAATATATAATTAAAATCGTTATTTTTACGTATGATTCAACGATGCGGATCTAGTTTTAACAATGGACGATTAGTGTTTGATGCAAGCTTGCCAGTTGCACATTATTTTGGTCTAATCGCTAAGAATATCGAAAAGAACATAATAAAAGTAAACGAAACGTGAATTGCTGTGTTTAATATTGTTGTAAAAATTCTAAAAAATACTCTGAACTATAGATACTTATTAATAACATTCTACTAAACTAATTTCATTAATTTAAAAAAAAAATTATCCAGGTTTAAAAAAAAAACCTTCAAAAAATAACTTTATCAAGACAGCAGCTAGCTAAGCCCGCCCATTTTGTCCGCCGTGTATTTGAATAGGAAAAACTCTAGCAGGCGACACATTTTTGCTGAACGTCAGTGAACGGTCAATAGCGTTATAACACTCCGTATTTGTCATATCCTCGTAGCCCTTTCTAGGCTAACGTTTACTTTTGTTAATTAAAATTGGTATAGAATTAAACGTAAGCAAGTGTAGTTTTTAATTGTTGAAGTCATCTTGAACAATAATGAAGTCTAAACTCTGAGGCATCACCCTAGGTGTGTTACCAACATAATAAATAGAACAGCCTATTCCTGACCAGATTTAAGCAGATGTTATAGTACTGAAGAATATGTAGTTCTCTTCTACTAGACTAATTTTAAAATTCAACTAGTTTAAACTGTAATTTTATCAACAGGACTATTGTTAACAGTTAAAACTGTAACTTTATCAAAGGCCCATTGTTAACAGTTAAAACTATGAATCCCAAGAATAGGGCTATTGTTAATAGTTAAAACTATTACCCTCAAGAATAGGCCCATTGCTAACTGTGGAAAGCTGATATTTTCAACAGGCCCAGCGTTCTCGTGGGTTTTGGGCTAATGATTGTTCAAAAACTCCTTGCCAAGTTTTTGTTTCTTCAAGATCGTGGTCAACATTTGCGTCTGGACAACAGGTGAGTCTTTGTTACAGTTGGGTTGGCTACAGGTGGGTTGGTTACAGGTTTGTCTTATTTACATATATTTGTTTCGAGTGAAGTGACTATAGTTAACTAATATAACAAAAAGCCAGTGTTTGCTGATTTTTGTCAAAACATTTAACGACAATTCTTTACTCCAAACACTCCAGGAATTTCTTCTTCATCTTCACCTACTTCATGTTCTTCTACAACATCTTCCTGGGTCTGGTTTCCTGCCTCATGAGAATTATCAAAGCCGCAATGGTCGGAACTCTATTTTTAGCTCGGCTGGACAACAGCACCCTGCCTCGAAAATTTGAATTTTTGGATCCAGGTTTGGATTTGTTTCGTTTATTCTTTAGTTAACAGTATAATTTTTCGATCCAGGTTTGGAATTTTTCATTTATTCTTTAATTTAAAATTTGAATTCTTTGACCCATGTTTGGATTTGTTTCGTTTATTCTTTAATTTAAAATTTGATTTTTTATCCACGTTTAAATTTTTTTCGCTGAATTTTTCGTTAACTCTTTAATTTAAAATTTGAATAATTAAACCCTGGATTGGATTTATTTCAGTACTCTTTAATTCAATTTTTTTAAATTTTGAGTTGTTAACTTATTTTTCATGAATAATTTTAGACCTATTCACAGTAGTCCTACACCTAGTTAGTACGTTAGCTAGTTACCATAATAATACATCGTAACCTATTAGGCTATTAGATAATACATTAAATAACTTTCTGGACTTGATATGATAGGTTTTCAAAATTTGAGTAAAATATTTAACATTCAATTTATAATTATAGTTGCGTTATTTTTTGCCTTTGTATCATTGTCTGTTGACAAGACTTTTAATACGTTTATGTTTTCAAAGGTGGAGACATACAAGTATATTTTTAAAAATTTACAATTTTTGTTCATATAAAATGGCATAAACAAACAAAATATAACAATTGTTTCTGTTGATAACATTTAAATGTTATAATTTTATTTAATTCTATTTATTTACCATTTAGTATTTAAAATTATCAGCTGTTTTTCAAAAGTTTGTGAGCGTATTAATTCTTTTATTGAACTTAAAACAATTAGTATTTGTATCATATTATCATATATGTGTATCCTACATTTATTTGTACTGATTTTGTTAATATAGGCTACTTAAAAGATTTTTGTCTTCTAAGATTTCGCTTATTTTTTAAACATAGAAGAAAGTTCATCTACATTATCTATAAGTGCTCTCACAATGTATTTTTATCAGGCTTTGCAGCTTATCAGGGCTACATACACATGGAGGCGGCCCACACCCACCCAGTAGTGAATGTGTTCATTAGACTCCTCATTAGCTTAAGCAAGTCACGCGCCACCCAGAAAGAGAAATACAGTCTCATCAACATGCCTGATGTTGATGATGTAAAGAAGTTGGAGTTAAAAGCCAGTGAGGAAATTGTTATGGCTGTTGAACAAACTAAAATATTCCTTCCGTACAGATTTACTTTAATTAATTATAGGAATCGATTTTAATTTGACTTCTCAAATTTAATTTTATAGAACGATTTAATTTTTTATCCCAAAAATAATCTATATCATATAAAAATCTTTTTTTCAAGTTTCTTATTGTCCCAATATAATGAATATTTTACTTTCTGTTTGTAATTTTTAAAAACTGATTATTATTTTGATAATAAAGTATAAAATTGGACTTTAATTGATCACCTACAAATTAATAAAACAGAACAATTTTATTTTATTTCCCAAAAATCACAATTATATATGTATGATATTTTTTAAAGATTCTTTTTGTCAACATATAACGAATATTATATTTTACATTTGAAACGAAAAGGTGAATTTTTATTTTCATGAACACTTTATAAATTGACCTAAATTTGTAGCCTTTCAAATGAATGTCAAATACAAAATTCACTTTATTTCACAACTACTATTTTCATGTAGGCATACATAATATTTCTATAATAGATTATTTTAGTCACATTGCAACGAAGAATATATTTTATATCTGTATTAAAAAGATTAGTATTATTTTACTTATAAACTAGATCAACGACCAGTGAATGTTGCTGCAAGGTTTAACTGGCATGTCACCTACACACTTCTGCATAATCCAACTGTAAGTTCACCCTAATAGACTTATAACCACACGTTTTCAAGTTCTTTTTAGTATTTTATTTTTCTACTCATAATTTTCTTTAATAAGTTCAAGTTAAGTTAAGTTTCTTTAATAAGTTTAATAAGTTCAAGTTACAACATGGTAGTTGTAATGTAGAGATAGCTTACAGACGATAAACTTCGAAAAACGATCATTAAGCATTTGGATAACTGAATTGAAATTAAATTAAATGGATCAATGCTCACAAGTTTGCAACAGGGGTAGAACTAACATAACACTGGTTTACAACAATAATTTAAAATATTGCACATTATATTAGTTTTACATAATTGTTTCAAATTACGACTCACTTTTAACCATAGGTGAGACTTTACAGAAATGGATTCATGCAAGCTTTAAAGATAGCACAGCGAGACGGCTTGAAGGTTCCTATTAGTGACAAGCCTATAACAAACTTCGACCTTGTGAAAACACAAGAAGAAAGAGAGAAGGAAAGACAAGAGGAAATACAAAGAATCCAATCAGAACAACAAGATGGATTTTCCATTTTAAACTTCAACAAAAACAGCAACGGTAACTCTGGAGAAAAAGAAAGGAAGTCAAAAAAGAAAGGGCTGGGATGGTTCAGTGTAAAGAAAAACTCAGAAGAAACACAGACGACTGTGAGATTTGATGAGAAAGAAAATGAAAACCTGCAAAAGCAGGCTGTAGCCTAACTTATTCTTACAGTTTAATTATTCATGTGTATGTATATGTGAAATTAATTTTTTTTTAATCTGCTAAATTATGTAATACTTTGTTTTACAATAGAATTATTTCTGACGGTTTTGAAGCTATAAACAATTTTCTCTTAAAAATGCTATAAAAATGTATGCTGCTTATTTAGAAATAACTTAGTTAAAACAATACATTGATTTTAAAAGCTAGAACTGTAAACAAAATACTAAACAAAGCTTGACTTTGTAATGTTAAATTTACGGACAATAATCATAATCATTTAACACTAAAGATGGCTGTTGTAGCATAAATCGTACTTAAAATGGAACCCCTTTTCACCTAACTGTAAACTATTTTACAATATCATGTAGTAGGCTACAGTTGGTTAGGTTCAGTGTAACAATTAGTGTAAGAGTTAGTGCTGATTTTGTCCCATTTAAAACAGTGTTACAATGTTTTGTGTTAATTGTTAGGCTTAACGATGAATATGCAATTTAAACCCTTGTAATACTAAGTAATTTAAATTTTATATTAGATTTAAGATTAAGCAAATTAAATATTTTAATGTTATAGCTATTGGTGTCACTTTTTCATAGATTAATTATCGACAATTTCAAAAATCAATATACAGTGTTTATACAACGATTAGTTTTCAGTTAAACGTTACACTATTATTAAAACTATCACTTTATTAAGATATTTGATGTATTTATCTTTATATATATATATAATTTTCACAAATTAAGTTTAGGCTTTCATTACTATGCTTAGAGGTTGAGACCGCAATAAGATGTTTGTTTGGCTTTATACAAAGAAACTGGTACCACAGCAGAATATAAAATTGTGTTTTGTTATAAAAATTGAAATTATAAAACAGGTTCTTCCTACAAACACAACTACTAACTTCTTCTAACTCTATCTGGTTTTGCTACCCTCAATCCCTTCTACCTCCAAACCACTAGCTTCCAATCCCTGCTACTCCCAATCCGTTTTGCCCACGATCCCGGCTACTTCCAATCCATGTTACCACAATCCCTTTTACCCATGGTTCCTGTACCCACAATCCCTGTACCCACAATCCCTGTACCCATGACCCTGTTACCTCAATCCCTACTATCTACGATCCCTGTGACCACAATCCATTCTACCCACGACCCCTGTTACCACAATCCCTGCTACACGCGATCCCTGATGTCATAATACTGTATCCCACCATCCTGAAGCAGGAACCTGCATTGTTATTTGTTAAACACCCCTCCTACTTTCATTACTAACTTTATATTAAATACATATATATGAGAATTCTCATATATTTTTTAATGTAAAAAACCGATCGTGTATTAAATTTATTTCAATTTTACAATCAGTAATGCCTTACAAAATTTGCTTTAGCAAAAAAACATTTTTACATATTTTGCTTATATATATATATTTTTATAGTGTTGTGCATCATATTTAAATTTGTGCCAATAAGATATGGATCATGGTTTATTGATGTTGATTTCATATAACAATAATTTAGTTGATTTACAGCTTCCATGTAGATTAGTCACCTTACTGTAAATTATGTCTTAATTGCAATAAGAGCAAAACAGAAATGATTACAAATTAAGAATCTTTGTTTAAAAAATATTTTCTCCTAGATCTATATCTAACTTTTCATATTCAGATTTTTTTACATATTTTAAATAACGATTTGTGAAAAAAAAATGTCGTCAAGTAATAAAAATAAACTTTTTTTGTTTTTCACTTTAAATTTGTTGTTATTTTGTTATGCAAACCTAGTGGTAAAATTTTGCTACACGTGTTGTGTGTTGGTATTGGGCGGAAGATACAAAGTTTTATGTTAATCATCATCTTTTCCTTTTCGTGCCCAAGACACATGGTTTCGCCACAAAAAGCTCCCTCCACTTTTGTCCGTCAATTCTCTTGGCAGTCCCCCATGACAGTCCTGCCTCTGCCAGCTGCTTCCCCGCCCTGCGCCTCCACGTCTCCCTTGGCCTTCATTGCTTTCTTTTTCCTTGAAGCGTCCAGTTTAGCGCCATTCATAGCGATGTCATCTGGATTCTTTCTTAGGACGTGTCCCATCCATCGCAATCTTCGTTTTTCAATTATTTCGGAAACTGCTTCTACTTCCATCTCTTGGCGATGGTGTTATGCCAGTGCATGCCTTGATTCTTCCTGTATAATCTCGCGGAAAATAAGTACTTTATATATAACATTTGAATTAATTGTTTAAAAAGTAAATCGAATATTCAAATAATTCAAAATTTTATGTCACATTAAAATGTCATCGGATCTAGATTGCGTGTCAACTTTGAAATAAATCGGTCCGGTCGAAATTTTATCCAATGACGACAAAAAAAAAGAACAAAAGGCAAAAAAAAGAACAACAGAGGCATAAAGTTAAATAAAGGCTTGTAAAAGTGTAATGTATTGTCATAAAACATCATACAAGATATAGAAAATTATAGTATATCACACTTTCCACGGTTTAGCGATGTTGAAGACATCAAGATCTCCTGACTCGTCTCTAAAAAAAGAGTTTGGCCTACTCTCAAACCCAAACAACGAAAAATCAAACTCGTATATATTTCTGATGGCTTCAACAATACTCATATCGACCGCTTTGAACGCGTCAGTAAGGGCGTTGTCTTTTTGATGTTTTAAATTAACGTCTGATTTTGATCTGCGGCTGGCTTCGAATAAAATATCAATGAAATCGTACGCGTCCATATTTTGTATTATCTCCTCTGTGATGTTCGCTGGGAAGTTAATCTCAGAGCTGATGAAGCTTCGGATTTGTAGTTTTCTCCAGATGCGTTTAGCGGCTTCCAATTTGGTCATGCAGGCCGTGATTTTATTGGTCCAGTCTCGGAAAGGGTTGAGGACCGCGTCCTCCACCGCCTGTTTCACCACGTCGTCCGCAAAAGATTCAAAATTAATCTGGGCGTTGGTCAGGTTCAGGGTAGACAGCAAGAACATCAGGTCTCTGTTGAAGGTGGAGGTGTACCCGATCACATCGTAGTCGACGGAGCACGGTTTGCATAGCTCCGCCATGGGGTTCAGATGCACGTCCATGTTCTTGTCGATGCTCCTCAGGTGCAACACGAACTTCAGGAACTCGCTGAACGTGACGTCATTTCCGCAGGTCAGCGCCTTCTGCGTGGCGTCGACCCTGAATTTTTTGATAGCTTTGATCCCCCAGAATCCCCAGTAGAACGGGTTGGGGGAGTAGAGTTTGTCCACGTACACGGAAAATAGTCTTGACCAAGGGTCGCGGACGAACATCAGTTTCGTGTACTGTTTCATCACTGTCTTGAGCGTGTGGTTTTTGTGGAATCGCTCTCGGTGTTGTTTCAGGTACTTGAGATAGACCAGGGCAGTGGGGCATTCGTAGACCAACTTGACCGGTACTTCGAACGGTGATCTGTAAATAATTCGTAAAATGGTTGTTGTGTTTTGTCTTGTTTTTAATAAATGAAAGTTTTCTTTTTTATTTCATATTTAGAACAAGCCACGCTATTTAAGGCGGATGCTGAGGAAAGACTCAAGCGTACCAATCACAATGTCGGGTGTCACCCCGTGCTTCAAAAGGTGACCTGAAAATAAGCCGTAAAATGTATTTTTTTTTTACGGTTTTATTTCATTTATAGTTAAAAAAAAACACGCTATTTTACGCCGACACGGACAAAATATTTAAGTTACTTGTAGGTGTACCAGAGACGACAAAATTGTGGGTGTCGTCCGGTGCGGTAATTGAGGGTGTCACCCCAGCTTCTGCGACAATTTTGCATTTTCGGTTAGGTGTCGCCCCATTCCTATACTATTATTTTAACTCAATAAAACATTCGTTTGGTATTCAATTTTATGCTTTTTCAATTTTGTACCTACCCCCTCCCCCCACCTCCCAACCTAACTTGTGCCCCCCCCTTCCCCCATGTGACGCTACTAGTGTGTATTATTAAGGATCATTACCTCAACTGGATGGTGTACTAACTGGTATTGTGTACATACCTCAATGGATTTGTGTACGTACCGTAATGGGATTTAATACCAAAAGGTATTGTGCACGTACCTGAGCGGGTTAGTGTTGTCTAGCTGGTACAAGAGCTGCCTGAAGAATGTTGAGGCCGTCTTCTCCACCGGGCAGTACAGAACTTCCCTCTGTATGGACACGATAGCACGGGGCTGAGGCTCCTCTTTACTGTGGTTTCTCGCCTCACACGTCAGCTTGATTCTCCTCCTGCAAGAGACATTGTGTTGAGTTGTTGATGTTTTCCAAACCAAAGTAAACGAAATCAATTGTCAGCTGGAGTAGAGATCCTCCAGAGAAAATGGAAATGGATTGGCCACACACTCAGGAAGCCTGTATCCAGCATAACAAGACAGGCCCTCACATGGATTCCACAAGGCAGGAGGAGGAGAGGCAGACCAAGAAAGACCACCTGGAGACGTGACCTGGAAGAAGACACCAAGAAGATACACCTGGGGACCGTTGGAGAAATTAGCCCAGGATGAAATGCCTGACACCAAGAAGATTGGATACACCTGGGGACAGTTGGAGAGACTAGCCCAGGACAGGATACACCTGGGGACAATTGGATAGACTAGCCCAGGACAGAGATGCCTGACACCAAGAAGATTGGATACACCTGGGGACAGTTGGAGAGACTAGCCCAGGACAGGATACACCTGGGGACAGTTGGATAGACTAGCCCAGGACAGGATACACCTGGGGACAGTTGGATAGACTAGCCCAGGACATAGATGCCTGATGCCAAGAAGATTGGATACACCTGGGGACAGTTGGAGAGACTATCCCGGGAAAGCTCATGTCAGCGAAGGGGCGACAGGCAAACCTAACCTAACCTAAAGTAAACGATAACAGAAAGAGAAGGGAATCATTAAAATGGACACTTAATGCAGAAATTCAGAGACGGATCCAGGCTCTAGAAAATAGATGTTTACGCAGACTCATATGGATCGCATACAGATAGTGTAATATATAAAGGTGGAAGAATCAGGGTTGTGATTGGTCCCTTTGAGAAGTTGCTAAGTATCGCCAAAGCAAAGAAACTCAGATGGTGTGGACACGTGAAACAATACAAAAGCCTGTAAGAATTTATAGGGCTGGTAAGTAGGTCAATAAACAGTTCTACGGCTCAATAAAACCTGCATGCGCCATAGAACTGTTTATTGACTTACTTACCAGCCCTACACTGCCGGACCTCGTGCCGGGGGAAGGGGGTGGGTGGATGGATAAAGACGTCATTGTATGTGGGGCATCAATGAACTGGGTGGAATCTTGAAGAATAACTTCATGGAGCAGAAGACTTCAACTGCGGTGCCCCAACTACCTCTCCGGGATGAGAAATCACAGACTGATTCCATTACACAGAGGGTTTTTAAATCGTTGTGAATAATTAGATTATTACAGTTCGTAACCCAGGAAATTCATTGAACTGGTAAAATTTGGCCAAATAAAATATTAAGTGACCAGATCATTATTTGATTGGCCAAGTAAAAGATTCACTAACCATTTAGTCATGGGTATGACCCCAAAAAATTTGATTCTTTGGATTTGATGAAGGCCTTTTAGGGTGATACCAGGTAGCAGTGTGCGTGAGAAAAGATGAGAGCTTGCGAGAAATGAATTACCTTCTCTCCAACATGTCTTCCCTGACGGCCTTCAGATCGAACGCCGGCCATCTTGTGGTGGTCCGGTCTATCCTACCGAACACCCGGCCATGCCGCACCAAGCCAGGACCCAGCCTCTCTGGCAGACTGACCACAAATATTTTCTTTGGCCTTAAGTAGCCTGCAGGACAAATAGGCAACATTAAACTACTGAGGTTCAAATAATTGTAACGAATCAAAATAAACTCAAACACACACACACATACACATACATACACATATGTATATATATACATACATATGTGTGTGTATATATATATATATATATATATATATATATATATATATATATATATATATATATATATATATATATATGATTATATATATATATATATATATATATATATATATATATATATATATATATATATATATATATATATATATATATATATATATATATATATATATATATATATATATAAATATACTTAAGTTTATTTATTTATACATATATTTATGAGTATATATATATATATATATATATATATATATATATATATATATATATATATATATACAGAGAGAGAGAGAGAGAGAGAGGTATATGTGTTGGTATGTCAGCGTGCGTGCGTGTGTGTGTCGCACATGTGTGTACATATGTGTGCGTGCGTGTGTGAGTGTGTGTGTGTGAGTGCGTATATGTGTAAACCCGTATATGTACGTATCGGTTCCTCTGTGTGCGAGTGTGCGAGCGTGTTTGTGTGTGTTTATGTGTGTGTTTGACTTACTTAACTACTTACCATTGTATACATTCAAAACAACCGAAGTTGAAAGCACGCCAAGGATCAAATATTTAAATTTTAGAAACAGAAGTCTGTTCATAACTTTCTATCCTTGCGATGTTCTTCAAAACCTGCCGTCAACATTTTCCAGCATATGATTCACTGTTTTTGAAAACACACACATTTACGCTGCATTTAAACCTAACTAGCTCATGTAAACTATGTTAACGGCCACTGTTTTAAATGTAATCTTCTTTGTAGTAAAATACCAGCATATGTACATAATTACTTACTCTTTTAACACGGCATTTTGTGATAGAAGTTTCACTTGTCGCTAAGAGCCTCGTGTAAACTTTAAAAACCCAAACTAATTAGGCCTACTAATTAATTGATACGTCAATCACCAATTATTGATGAACAAGGTAATTAGCTAAACAGGTGAAACGAGTGTGGCAGTGGTAGCGGTGGTGTGGGGGAACTTGTTAGTGGTAGCGGTGGTTTGGGGGAACCTATTAGTGGTAGCGGTGGTGTGGGGGAACCTATTAGTGGTAGCGGTGGTGTGGGGGAACCTATTAGTGGTAGCGGTGGTGTGGGGGAACCTATTAGTGGTAGCGGTGGTGTGGGGGAACCTATTAGTGGTAGCGGTGGTGTGGGGGAACCTATTAGTGGTAGCGGTGGTGTGGGGGAACCTATTAGTGGTAGCGGTGGTGTGGGGGAATATGTTAGTGGTAGCGGTGGTGTGGGGTAACCTATTAGTGGTAGCGGTGGTGTGGGGTAACCTATTAGTAGTAGTGATGATGTGGGGAACATGTTCGTATAAGTGATGATGTGAGCACTTCTTTCAGGCCTCTCCCGAAGAGGTCACTGACCTCGTACTTGCACGTCCACTGACCATCTCCCGCCTGCACGATACACATTTCAATAGAAAACATACACTTTAATTGTAGTCAGCCCAACTCTCAAACACCTGAAAGCTACAAGCACCCCCCCCCCCCCACGCCCTTTCCTGATCAAAACTTCTACAAGAAACCGTATCCAGAAACTACTTAATCTGGGCCATTGTTTACTATAACCCTGGGCTAATAGCTACCCTGGGCCATTTTGTATCCTGAGGTTTGTTTACATTTTGTTATAGTGTAAGATAGTCGACATATTATGTAACCCTATAGACCTCTAGGCCTATAACAAGATGTCCTTATAATACAAATCTAACCAGAGTCGAAGTGCAGTATATCTGATGCTGATGAATTTGAATTAGGTTGTAATCAATTATAACTTTTCTAGCTTGACTTCCCTAATCCTCACGAACCGTAACAAACCATGTTTAAGTTGTGACTACGTTTGTATATACCTATCAATAAAAACAAAATAATCTGCACACTAGTTTGTTTGGCTCCCAAACTTACCGGAATCGCCTCATCCCACTTCCTGTTACATTCGTGTGTGTTTATGTCAACAAAACAATTACTTGGTTTCCTGGATAGGAGAGTATGAGCTATTGTGATGTAGCATAGAATTTTATACCGCTAGCTAAATAAATAGAAACAAAGGAACACCAATACAAACTTTGTCTTGTTTGCAGGCTTACAAAGTGTAAAAAAAAGTCCCCCTTTCGAACCCGACGATGCATGGGGCAGGTGAAGTAGATTTAAACTGTATATCTGAACTCTGAATACAAAAAAATAGTGTTGTCAGCATTTTACCCAGCAGTCTTTACTTGTCCTATTGTGAGTTAGGTACCCATTAGAGCTGGATGGACTCAGGGACGTTTTTTTTTTAACCCGGACTCGAACACTAGACTTACGGGTTTGCATTCAAGCGCGCTACTGTTATTCCACGCTGTCCCGTGCTTACGAAGTATCTATCTATATAATTCTCTTCTGGGAGACGCTAGAAAACAAGCTGTAAACGCGCTCCCTACCACCCCCACCCCTACATGTTCTTAGTGAGCTGTGTTCACTCTAAATGTTTACAAACAGATCCGGGTTTAGTGACGACTATTAGGGGCAGATAATTTAGTTTGAAACGATTTTAAACGTAGGGGAGTAACTAAGTGGAGTTTACTTTATAGGAGGGGGGGGGAGGAGTGGGGGAGGGTTATCGTCCTTAACGAGCTACTTATAGTGTTTTAAAGAAATATTTTCAGTGGCAGCGTTGGTACTGTCGAATTCACAAATTATGAATTACTGAAAAGTAGAAAAAAACAACAACTAAATAGCGGCGTAATAATAAACGAAAACAGTGTTTGAAAAATATTTCTTTTCTTTCCACGCGGTTGGACAGTTTTTCACACATAAAAGTTTTAGCCGCTCTTAAAAATGTGTCAGTAAGACAATAGACAAAAGCTGGAATATCTTGCTGAGCTGTCAAGATAGTGCCAGAAACAGACAAAAGTAGAAACAGTTTTTGTTGCGTCCCCATAGGTCCTGAGCACGGAAAGGAAAAGATGTTGATGGAAAAAAAAGTCAAAAACTTCAATCTGTTCTTTATAAAGAGTAATGATACACACGACCATAGGCTTAAATATATGGTTTTATTTATTACTTTATAAATAAACAGGGAGTGATCTCCCCTAAACTTTCTCGAATATTCTTATATAACTTGGAATATAGACATGATTTTTAATTACTTAAACTTTTAAAAATAGAATAGAATCTCATACAAAAAAAAAGAATTGCGCACCAAGCGAACGCCAAAACAAAATGTGCATAATAGTGCATAATAGTGCGCAATATTATTAGTACTTTTTTAGAAATCGGAAAGAGCGTAAATTAGTACTTCCGGTCAACGGAAATTACTCAAAATTTGACAGAAGGTAGAGAATTAGATCTTTTACTTACATGTGAAATTTCATTTATCTATCTGAAATAGTACTCAAGTTATAGGCTTTTGAAAAATTCAAAGGAGAAAAAGTACCACTTCCTGTTATCGGAAATCGCTCAAAAGTTGATACGGATCTACGATTTTGATAAAATACTTATATATGAAATTTCATCAACCTAGCTGTAACGGTACTCAAGTAATCGTGTTTACACACACACACACACAGACACACACACAGACACACAGACATACGGACAAGATTGCAAAATTATGTTTTTCCGTATCAGTGAGGTGTAAAACGTCGAGATTTGTAAAAATCTCGATTTTTTTTGTACGATTACAATACTTTCTCTATACTATGTAGGCCTATATACGAGAAAGTAAAAAGTCAAAAACTTCCATCTGTTCTTAATAAAGAGTAACTAGAATACCCGTCATCCGTTGGATAACTGTGGGTTTCGGGGGTCATCCATCAAAAAACATCACGTCTGTCACTCAGAGGCATAGCGACCCTTACCGGCGCCCGGGGACAAACTTTTCGATTTTAACCCCCCCCCCCCCCCCCCCGAGATTTCGATTTTCAACCCCCCCCCCCTCAAACTTTTGATGTGCACCCCCCCCCCCCCCACTCAAACTTTCGATTTGAACCCCCCTCAACCTTTCAATTTATTTTTCCAAACCATTTTGGCGCCCCAACATATGTCCCCCCCGCCTCCCCTCCCGCCCCCCCCCCCCTCCTCGCTACGCTACTGCAGTGTCACTTATCGTCACAAAAACAGACCCCACATTCAAAAATATGTTTCTTATCTTTTAAAAACACCGAAAACACCGATTTCGGACTATCCCTTCATATACTGACGTCACATGTGACCTACTCAACTCTACTTCACCTGCCCAGTGTCCCGCCAAGTCTCAGACAACATGTTTTTATCGTTTAAAAAACGATTCCAGCCGAGCATGTCTCTGACCACACTATCCTTTCATATGCTTAGGACAAAGAAACAGATGAACTCTACTTCACCTGCCCTGTATCCTGCCAAGTTCAGATAGGCAACTTTATCATTCACATCTAAAAAAAAAAAAAAATTGAAAAAAAAAATATCATTGACATATTGGTCTAGAACCTGTACCACCCGCATGAGAGCGGACTACGCTACCAACTTAGCTATTTACTCGTGACGTCACAAATGAATTTTTATACTATACTTTTAAGTCTCCGCGCATAGATCTAGATCTAAGTCTAGTAGTAGAATCTAGTAACTTTCAAATTAAATTTTATCTTAAATTAGCCAAACAAAGATTTATATAAAATAATTAAGGCCTGAAATAGATTCTAGATGTATTAAGTCCTGAAATAGATTCTAGATGTAGAATTTACATTAAGTCTAGATCTAGAATTTACATTGAGTCTAGTGACCTAGATCTAGGCTAGATCTAGATCTAGGCTAGATTCATAACTTTCCTTCGACAGCTGATCTTTAGATCTAGAGAAATTTATTGTAAAACTAAATGAAAAAAGACAGTTTAAAATTGATATAAGTGTTGGAACGTAATAAATACAGCAAACGGACGTATTGTTAAAGTTATGACCGACAGAAAATTAGATTTAGAACGCGTTAAACTTTTGAATGGGAACACAATTTTCTTCGATAGACGCCGCCATTTTATTGTACTAAAGAGTAAACAAAAAAACTGTGACGTCACGGTCCCGCCGAGTGTAGTGGTAGTTCTAAACTTTTTAAAAAAATGGGTTACTCTGCGTATGAATAAATCAATAAATTAATTAACGTCTTTAAATAAATGTGTGATTAACAGTCTGTCTTAAAACAAAAATTTTTCTCTACCTACATACTATTTTACAGCTTTCCACGATGAGTGCAACCATGCGAGATAGTCAATCAGGCAAACAAACAAACAAACAAAAAAATAAATATTCAAACATGTAAACAAACTTGACTTTTAGTAGTATATAGATGATACACAAGACCATAGGCTTAAATATATGTTTTTATTTATTACTTTATAAAAATGAATAAGTGCATACTCCTGCACATTTCTTTTATTCCCCATCTCTTCACAACGTACAAACGTGTACATATAATACAGAATTTAATTCATATAATACAGAACACATATTTATAATACAGAACTTTTACACATATATAATACAGAACATATAACATGTATAATAAGTATAGTACAGAACATGTTCACTTATATAAAGTAAAATAGAATGAAAATTGAATAATTTGAATATTTTATTTTAATTCAAATTAATATAAAACGCTGTGATGTTTTTTTACATGTTTTGATTAAAAAACCTAGGGTCTTAAATTTATATTCATGGAAAAACGATTTATTGGCTAACATAACTATCGATAACCTAAATTGTATTATTATCTTGGTTTACTACATACTCCATCTTTTCCCTACCTTCTAACTATCTTGGCGACAAGCAAATACATAGGAAATGTAGACATTTGAATAATAGATCTCTTATAAGACACACTAATCGATAATTTTAAACTAAACCTCTTTAGATTTGGGCGTCAGTGGAATATGTTACTTCCCTTACTGAACAAATGAAAAGATGACTTGCGTTGTCCTTTCAACACTTAATTTTAATTATCACAGCCAACCTGACCCCCCCCCCCCCCTCCAACCCCCCATCCTCTACAATTCAACAATGCCCTTGTCTTCACGTTTTCCAGCCGTCAAACTAATCTCAAGACAAATTCTTCCTTTAAGTAAACGCCAAAGAAAACCACCGACCACACATCAATACCCTTGCGACGTAGCCCACCAACCCTCAAAGACTCACATCCTCAAATTTTCATTCTCGCTTCAACCTTTCTTGTTTTTAAACCCATGTTTAAACTTCAAAAATATTTTGCTTGGCTAATCTTTCTCTTGGCCATCGCCTAAAATTGAACATCTTAAAATCTAGATCATACACCTGGTTGATCCTGTTCATGAGACTTGAACTTATAGACATGTACGCTTTTGTGTACACTTTCCTCTTCTGCTGTCTCAGGTTTTGGTACGCCCTTGACTTCTGCGCGGCACTGGTTAAAATATCGATGAAATCGTACGCATTCATGTCTTGGATCACCTGCTGAGTGATGTTCGACGGGAAAGATAAATTGGTGCTGATGATTCCCCGAAATTGGAGTCTCCTCCATATACGACGCGCTGCGCTTAGCTTCGACATACACTGTGTTATCGCCTCACTCCATTCTTGGAAGGGGCTTAAAACCGAGTCTTCAATCTCGTTGATGACAAAGTCCTCAGCGAGAGTGTGGAGTCCAGTTTGTGAGGTTTTTCCATCGAGCCAGTTCGTGAAGACGTAGGACAGGTCTCTTTCAAACACGGTCGTGTGACCGATATAGTCGTAGGGGACCGTGCAAGGCCGACACAGGTCTACTGCTGGGAGGAGGTCGGCGTCCATCTGACCTTGACCCGGGGACAGGTGATGCAGGAGGAATTCTGAAAACGTGACGTCATGGCCGCACCTCAAGGAAAGCTCGGAAGGATTTTGTCTGAATTTTTTGACGGCCGGGACGCCCCATTTGGTCCAGTACCGCGGGTTGGGGGAGTAGAGTTTATCGACGTAGGCGGAGAAGAGTCTGCTCCATGGGTCCCGTACAAACATCAAGTTTTTAATTTTTTCCCCGGGGGTGGCAAACTGGGTGTTGTTGTACAGGTCGACATAGTTGAAACACTTCGGACATTCACGGATGAACTTTGACGGTATCTCAAATGGTGATCTAAAGATAGAAAGGATGTTGACAAGTACTTTAAAAAGTAATTTAAAGGGAGAGAAGTTATTTTAACAAGTACTTTAAGAACAAGTAATTTAAAGGGAGAGAAGTTAATTTAACAAGTAATTAAAGAAAAAGTAATTTAAAGAGAGAGAGAGAGAGAGAGAGAAGTTAATTTAACAAGTAATTAAAGAAAAAGTAATTTAAAGAGAGAGAAGTTAATTTAACAAGTAATTAAAGAAAAAGTAATTTAAAGAGAAAGAGAAGTTAATTTAACAAGTACTTCAAAATGTGGCCTAAAGAGGAAGAAGTTAATTTGAAGGGTACTTTCAAATGTGATCTAAAGAATTAAAAGTTTTATTTTAACGGATCATCTGAAGTGAGTTTCGAAGACAACATAAGTGGTTCTTCATATAGTGAAAAAAAAGAGGGAGAGACAGACAGAGAGACAAAGTACACGTTAATCTTAAGGGATTTGAAATAGAACTTAACGAAACTTTTATGAGTTGCTGCAGCGTGTATCTGTATACTCTAGATCACGGGTTCCCAACCTGGGGGTCGCGACCCCCCTGGGGGTCGCGAAGGGCTTTCTGGGGGGTCGCCAACTGGTATACTAAACCTTAGTAATTTGAAACAAAACATAAATATTTAGAAGAATTTTTGAAATTCGGCTTTACTAACATCACTGGAAAGGGAATAGAGAAGAAGCAAAGCGCACTGTACAAAGTTGTTCTCAGTCACGAATTTATGAAATCTTCAAAACTAAAACGTCATTTGACACGAGTCATTCGAAACACACCAAAAAAGATATGGAGTTCTTTCGTCGGTATGAAGCTAGTTGCAAACGTCTGAGACTTGATCGAACAGGAAGTTTTCACCAAGGAAACACAGCATTAGTGCAAGCATCACATGAAGTCGCGACAGAAAATGCCAAGCAAAAAAAAACACAATAGGAGAAAATCTCATCAAACGCTGCATGTTTTGGTCAAAATCGGGCTTTCAGAAAACAGAAAAGATTTAGCTCCCTAATCACTGAACTCACCAATCGCCATCAAGACTCCATTGCTAGTATAAGTCGTAAATTATATAAAATCTGGAGCCTTCAAAGAACTGAGCAAAGACCTGAATAAAGATCACGAGGTTCTGCTCTTCTACACTACAGTGCGCTGGCTGTCAAAGGAATTGTTGTGAATCGTGTTTTTGAATTCAAATCTGAAATCAAATTGTTCTTGGAAATGCAAAGGAAACAAGACCTTTTGGTATACTTAAAACGACATAGAGTGGTTGGAGAGAGTATCATACCTAGCAGATGTGTTCGAAAATCAACATAAGCATAACCTGAAGCTTCAGGGAAAATGAACGAATATTATCACTTTCCATGATAATCTCGGGGCATTTTTAACAAAGCTGCAAAATCGGCGAAGAAAATAAATCTTGGAAATATTGTAAATTTGAGAAACTCTGCAGTGTGGTAGATGAATCTAATTGTGGGATAATTTAAATTTTGAAAGAAGAAATTTCTGGGCATCTTGAATCTATTGAAAACGAACTGCAGCGCTATTTCTCTGAGCTGAAAAAAAAAGAATCTGCATTGACGCATTATCCATTCTCTTCTTCCCTTGATGTTGCCAGCATTCCCGATGAATTACAAGATGAATTCTTTGATTTCTAGAATGATTCCGCGTAAGATGAAAATCTTCAGACACAATTTTGGTGTAGTATTAACCATTTATATCCAAACGTAAAATTGATTGAATTTTCGAGAATATAATTTTATTCTGAACACTATTTTTCGATTAAAAACAAAATTAAGATAATGATAATGACATAGGTTGGCGTTAACAAAAAAAATACTTTAAAAAAAATTAACCGCGATTGTTTAGTGAATATTATGCAATTTTACTCATGGTATTAAAACAGTTATCAAGAGTAGTTCATATCGTAAGTCTACTACAAAATCTTATTTTAGTGCTTATTAATTTCTTACTAATTTCGGCTTTTTAATTCTATGGGGGTCGCGGGTGACTTAATTTTTATAAAAGGGGGTCGCCACTCGAAAAAGGTTGGGAACCACTGCTCTAGATCAAACAATTAACCGCATTGGGTTTCTCTGTGTATTTCCTGTCCTACTAATAAGCGCAAGAGGTACGACTAGGGCTGACTACTAATATTTCTGTTTCTGTATTATAGATACCACATTTTACCGCATTAAATGTGTCTTATATTTGAGGTCTCACTACTTACCGGAATGGGTCTGTCTTTTTAATCTGGTACATCATTTTCTTGAGAAACGTGGAGGCCGCTCCACCCACGGGGCAATACATAATTTGCCAGGCTAGAATCCCCCGCGCTGAATGATTTGTGTTCGAGTCTTGAATAGTACTACACACCTTCTCTATAGTTCGCCTGCAAATGTTCAGCTTTGTTGTGAGTATTATATATATATATATATATATATATATATATATATATATATATATATATATATATATATATATATATATTGTGTTAAATCTGAATCAATATGAAGAAGTTTATAACAAGCTAAGTCGGGACCCCTATATGGCCATCCTTAGACTGCCAAGTGTATAAGTTGCTGGAAATTGTTATGGTTCTGCTATCACATTTTTCTGCCCACTTTACAGACATGATTAGAATGTCCTTAACTGACCATCGTTCATATCAGCTTGCCATTGTAGCCTTTACTGGCTATTTTTAGATTAGACTGGCAAATTTTTTAGATTGAGTGACCACTTTAATATCGTATGGTCATTTAGGCATTTACTGGCTACTTTTAGATTAGACTGGCAAATTTTTTAGATTGACTGGCCAATTTTTTACATTGAGTGACAACTTTTATATCGACTGGCCACTTGGGCCTTTATTTGCCACGTTTAGATTTATTAGCCATTTTAGACCTTGACTGGCCAATTTTAAAGCTTGAATGGCCAGACATTTAATAACCCTTCATAGTCCTATCATGGCCCCTGAACCTATACTGGCAACTATTAGATTACACTATTACACGATTTCCATAAAGACTTTTCTAAGACCATCCACAACCTTGTCGCCAGACTTCAACTAACAGACATTCTCGCTCACCTTTGATGCTCCCAATCAATCGATACTTGCGTCATGTTTGGTGTCGGGTATCGATGTTTGGAGTACACCCAGTAATAAGAATAAAGCGACGTGTTGTTTGTCTTGTCACGTCGCACCGGGAAGGATTTGAACTCGGGCCGTGGACCAAGATAATCTGACGTGAAAGAAAACCTTGCTTCAAGCAAATCAAAACAACAATAATTATCCAATAAACCGGGAGTGATCTCCCCTAAACTTTCTGGAATATTCTTATATAACACTACGGGGGATGGCAACTCGGGATATAGACAATATTTTAAATCCATTTTTAAATTACTCTAGTTATCGTGTTTACAGACACACACACACACACACATACACATAATACAATCACACACACACAGATATATGGACAAGATTGCAAAACTTTTTTTTTGCACGATTACAATACTTTCTCTTTATTTTGTAAACGAGAATGTAAAAATGAAAAGTCACCAATAAATAACATATGTATTGGGAATTTTAACATTTAAAAAATTTTAACATTCAAAAAATAATTGCCCGAAAAAGATTCCCCAGAGTTGTTACAATAAAATTGTTACATATTGTTACAATAAAAAAACGTATCTTAATTTACTGTTACAATAAAAAAACGTATCTTAATTCGCTGTTACAAATGAGCGCAAGTCTCAATAGATAAATCTTAATAGAAACTCGGCTTATTTTTTTATTTATTGTCATATTGTGAATGGCATAAATCTAAATAAATGTTTAAGTTTATCCAAATTATTAGCAAGAATAGTTCTTTGACTTGAAGCAAATTGGGGGCAAATTGCTTTCTGTCCATGTGTCTCATTACATCTGAACCCCAAATTAAAATTATATGTATATATATATATATATATATATATATATATATATATATATATATATATATATATATATATATTGTCTATGTATATATAGCATATGTACATATAACATATATTACTATATTATATATAATATATAGCCTTTATATTATATATATATATATATATGATGTATATACATATATATGATGTATATATAGTTGCGTGTATGTACTCACCATCGTAAAGTATAAAGTTACACGCGGCAAATACACAACCAATGAACCAATATTTGATCTTATAATACAGCACTGTGTTCATGGTATGTTCTGGTTCTTCTTTCACTCAGATGACCCCTACACGTCATGTGACCACCCACAGATCAGGTCAGCTACAGGTGTGTATGTTGACATCTGACCGGCACTGACCAATGGGTCACGTGTGTTGACACTGGGAACAAAAGGAATATGATTTTACAATTATTTTTAGCTATTTCTTTAGCATTTTCTGTATGTTTATTTATTTATTTATTTTTAATTTATTTTAAAAATCACGATAGATACATTCACTTGGTGGACGAAGGTAGACTGCGCTTGCTAACCCGAAAGACACGAGTTCGGAACACGAGCACGAGACCGTATGTCAGCTTTTTACAGAAGTGACCCTCATATTCAAGCTGGGTGGTGTGATACAGTGGCGGAACTAGAAAAAAAGGGCCACCCCGCAAAAAAATTTTTTAGCCCCCCCCCCCCCCTCCCCATATATATTATTATAATATATATATATATATATATATATATATATATATATATATATATATATATATATATATATATATATATAAACACAAAATACGAACATAGGATACTCATTTCTGGCCTGTTCGGGTTGTAATAAATTTAAAAAATTTAAATTAAAGCAAATTACAACATCATGTCATGTGCGTAAGTGAACTAGAGTGTTTGTGAAAATCAGTTTTATTTTATTTCTGTTATAAGACAATTTGACCTCCAAGTCGGTAAAAAGAATATAAACCATGCAAGCTTTGTATAAGTAATGGTGTCTCGTGTTATGTTTATTTTTATGTTTTTTTTATTTATATTATTAACTTTAAACACATTTACTTTTTATACGATGTCATTCTTTAGTAGCTACTTTATAAAAAAAAACAATTAAAAGAAATAATTGTTTTTCAATTTGTTAAGTACAAATCTATTAAAAGGAGCTTATGAGCACCCATATTTGACTATTTAAAAAAGGGAAATAAGTCATGGAAGTGGTTTGACACGTTTGCTTATTTTTGATAAGTTTGATTGTAGGAGAAAGAGGACTCGGCTATCACAGTGCTTTAAAAACAAAGGGAAAAATAATATACCAGAGCCTGGGGTGGTGTCTATAGAATAAAGATAATCCTACCGCAGTTACGGTAATCTTTTTTACAAAACAACCATCAAGTCAAAAATGCAAGAAAATTTTTAAAAGTTTGAAAAAAATTATGGTCGGCTGTGGGCCCCTAAATGGCGTGGCCCCCCCCCCCCCCCCCCGCATTGCGGGGTCTGGCGGCACTGTAGTTCCGCCCCTGGTGTGATACGAGGGGAAGGGGGGGGGAGACCATGTCGGAAACCCACGGGCCTAGCGGCTGGTAACATGGGTGAGAGAGATGCTCGCGTGTGTGTGTGGGTGTGTGTGTGTGTGTGTGTGTGCGTGCGTGTGCGCGTGCGTGAGTGCGTGCGTGTTTGCGTGTGTGTTTGCGTGCGTGTGTGTTGTTGTTGTGTGTGTATGTGTGTGTGTGTACGTGTGTGTGGCTTATTTTATGTTTCAAATACTTGTTTTAAAATGTTGTTGCGAATGTTCTGGTTAATAGAACATATTCATGCCCCAGGCTTGAGGCTAATCAGCCTCGATTTGGGAGCTGGTCACGTGATCGGTTACGTACCTGTTGCGTAGCGCGATACAAAATGGCGGCGGATGCCCGCGGGATGTATGTTGTTATTGTTGGAGGTTTAGTCACGATTAACGTTAGCGTCTGCTTCATCGTTAGACTCGTGTTTTGTCGAGTTGTCTGTGTTTGGCTAGGGGGGGGGGGGGTGAGTGCAGGAGGGTTAAGACGGTAATGGTGTGTATAGGGGGGTGTATGATGGTTACGTTAGTGACCATGTGTGTATATGGTGTGTAGTCATTGATGTTGTTATTGTTGGAGGTTTAGTCACGATTAACGTTATCATCTGCTTCATCGTTAGACTCTAGTTTTGTCGAGTTGTCTGTGTTTGGCTAGGGGGGGGGGGTGTAGGATTGTTACGTTAGTGATCGTGTGTATATGTGTATGGTGGTTAAGTCATTGATGTTGTTTTGGTGCGGGGTCAGAACATGTATGTTATGGTTGTCCACGAATGTGATTGGTAACCGCTATAGTACTTTGGGCGAGGTGTGGTAATGTAGAGGTGTGGTAGAGTGGCGGTGTGGTAGGGTGGGGGTGGTAAGGTGGAGTTGTGGTAGGATAGGGGGTGGTAAGGTGGAGTTGTGGTAGGATAGGGGGTGGTAAGGTGGAGGTGTGGTAGGATAGGGGGTGGTAAGGTGGAGGTGTGGTAGGGTAGGGGGTGGTAAGGTGGAGGTGTGGTAGGATAGGGGGTGGTAAGGTGGAGGTGTGGTAGGGTAGGGGGTGGTAAGGTGGAGGTGTGGTAGGGTAGGGGGTGGTAAGGTGGAGGTGTGGTAGGGTAGGGGGTGGTAAGGTGGAGGTGTGGTAGGGTAGGGGGTGGTAAGGTGGAGTTGTGGTAGGATAGGGGGTGGTAAGGTGGAGGTGTGGAGGTGTGGTAGGGTAGGGGGTGGTAAGGTGGAGGTGTGGAGGTGTGGTAGGGTAGGGGGTGGTAAGGTGGAGGTGTGGAGGTGTGGTAGGGTAGGGGGTGGTAAGGTGGAGGTGTGGAGGTGTGGTAGGGTGGGGGTGGTAAGGTGGAGGTGTGGTAGGGTAGGGGGTGGTAAGGTGGAGGTGTGGTAGGGTAGGGGGTGGTAAGGTGGAGGTGTGGTAGGGTAGGGGGTGGTAAGGTGGAGGTGTGGAGGTGTGGTAGGATAGGGGGTGGTAAGGTGGAGGTGTGGTAGGGTAGGGGGTGGTAAGGTGGAGGTGTGGTAGGGTAGGGGGTGGTAAGGTGGAGGTGTGGTAGGGTAGGGGGTGGTAAGGTGGAGTTGTGGTAGGATAGGGGGTGGTAAGGTGGAGGTGTGGTAGGGTAGGGGGTGGTAAGGTGGAGGTGTGGTAGGATAGGGGGTGGTAAGGTGGAGGTGTGGTAGGATAGGGGGTGGTAAGGTGGAGGTGTGGTAGGGTAGGGGGTGGTAAGGTGGAGGTGTGGTAGGGTAGGGGGTGGTAAGGTGGAGGTGTGGTAGGGTAGGGGGTGGTAAGGTGGAGTTGTGGTAGGATAGGGGGTGGTAAGGTGGAGGTGTGGTAGGGTGGGGGTGGTAAGGTGGAGGTGTGGTAGGGTAGGGGGTGGTAAGGTGGAGGTGTGGTAGGGTAGGGGGTGGTAAGGTGGAGGTGTGGTAGGGTAGGGGGTGGTAAGGTGGAGGTGTGGTAGGGTAGGGGGTGGTAAGGTGGAGTTGTGGTAGGATAGGGGGTGGTAAGGTGGAGGTGTGGAGGTGTGGTAGGGTAGGGGGTGGTAAGGTGGAGGTGTGGAGGTGTGGTAGGGTAGGGGGTGGTAAGGTGGAGGTGTGGAGGTGTGGTAGGGTAGGGGGTGGTAAGGTGGAGGTGTGGTAGGGTAGGGGGTGGTAAGGTGGAGGTGTGGTAGGGTAGGGGGTGGTAAGGTGGAGGTGTGTTAGGATAGGGGGTGGTAAGGTGGAGGTGTGGAGGTGTGTTAGGATAGGGGGTGGTAAGGTGGAGGTGTGTTAGGATAGGGGGTGGTAAGGTGGAGGTGTGGAGGTGTGGTAGGGTAGGGGGTGGTAAGGTGGAGGTGTGTTAGGATAGGGGGTGGTAAGGTGGAGGTGTGGAGGTGTGTTAGGATAGGGGGTGGTAAGGTGGAGGTGTGGAGGTGTGGTAGGGTAGGGAGTGGTAAGGTGGAGGTGTGGAGGTGTGGTAGGGTAGGGGGTGGTAAGGTGGAGGTGTGGAGGTGTGGTAGGGTAGGGGGTGGTAAGGTGGAGGTGTGGAGGTGTGGTAGGGTAGGGGGGGGTAAGGTGGAGGTGTGGAGGTGTGGTAGGGTAGGGGGTGGTAAGGTGGAGGTGTGGAGGTGTGGTAGGGTAGGGGGTGGTAAGGTGGAGGTGTGGAGGTGTGGTAGGGTAGGGGGTGGTAAGGTGGAGGTGTGGAGGTGTGGTAGGGTAGGGGGTGGTAAGGTGGAGGTGTGGAGGTGTGGTAGGATAGGGGGTGGTAAGGTGGAGGTGTGGAGGTGTGGTAGGGTAGGGGGTGGTAAGGTGGAGGTGTGGTAGGATAGGGGGTGGTAAGGTGGAGGTGTGGTAGGATAGGGGGTGGTAAGGTGGAGGTGTGGTAGGGTAGGGGGTGGTAAGGTGGAGGTGTGGTAGGATAGGGGGTGGTAAGGTGGAGGTGTGGTAGGGTAGGGGGTGGTAAGGTGGAGTTGTGGAGGTGTGGTAGGGTAGGGGGTGGTAAGGTGGAGGTGTGGAGGTGTGGTAGGGTAGGGGGTGGTAAGGTGGAGTTGTGGTAGGATAGGGGGTGGTACGGTGGAGGTGTGGAGGTGTGGTAGGGTAGGGGGTGGTAAGGTGGAGGTGTGGAGGTGTGGTAGGGTAGGGGGTGGTAAGGTGGAGGTGTGGAGGTGTGGTAGGGTAGGGGGTGGTAAGGTGGAGGTGTGGAGGTGTGGTAGGGTAGGGGGTGGTAAGGTGGAGGTGTGGTAGGATAGGGGGTGGTAAGGTGGAGGTGTGGAGGTGTGGTAGGGTATGGGGTGGTAAGGTGGAGGTGTGGTAGGGTAGGGGGTGGTAAGGTGGAGGTGTGGTAGGATAGGGGGTGGTAAGGTGGAGGTGTGGAGGTGTGGTAGGGTAGGGGGTGGTAAGGTGGAGGTGTGGTAGGATAGGGGGTGGTAAGGTGGAGGTGTGGAGGTGTGGTAGGGTAGGGGGGTGGTAAGGTGGAGGTGTGGTAGGGTAGGGGGTGGTAAGGTGGAGGTGTGGTAGGGTAGGGGGTGGTAAGGTGGAGGTGTGTTAGGATAGGGGGTGGTAAGGTGGAGGTGTGTTAGGATAGGGGGTGGTAAGGTGGAGGTGTGGAGGTGTGGTAGGGTAGGGGGTGGTAAGGTGGAGGTGTGTTAGGATAGGGGGTGGTAAGGTGGAGGTGTGTTAGGATAGGGGGTGGTAAGGTGGAGGTGTGGAGGTGTGGTAGGGTAGGGGGTGGTAAGGTGGAGGTGTGTTAGGATAGGGGGTGGTAAGGTGGAGGTGTGGAGGTGTGTTAGGATAGGGGGTGGTAAGGTGGAGGTGTGGAGGTGTGGTAGGGTAGGGAGTGGTAAGGTGGAGGTGTGGAGGTGTGGTAGGGTA